ATACTGTACAATAATTATTTTGGCATTTAGTGGGTGCCCATTCATAAATGCTATTAGAAAACAAAAGCTGAAACGTTCTCTGTCTCCTCCAAGCACTGCAGAGCTAAAGAGACTTCAAAGGCCTCTGCTGATTACAGTGCCCTGTCAACGAGGAAGCACAACACAACAGGACCCTGCCTTTGCATAAATATTAAGCCTGGCCTAGAGCCAGTGCGGAACAGAATAAAGGGCGAAGAGTGGTGAAAGAATAAGGGTACCTGCTAGGCTAATGGTAGAGATTAACTTTCAGTATCTGTTAATAATCCCCCCCACCACTATTGTACTTTAATGCAAGCCGCGGTCCTGTGGTACTGGCTGAGAAGGGGGTAAGAAAGCCTCTTATCAGTCTAGGCCCTTCTATGTTTGTTTTCTACCGAAAAACTGAGTCCAGATGTTACGGTAAAGAGGAGCAGTAGAGGGAAGTCTGTATTTACTCTTTAATTCCAGGATGTTTGTCTGTGACGTCCCCCTACCCCCCTACCCCCCCTCAAAAAAAAAGCAGAGAACCTACCTAATGCTCAGCCCCATCTGGGGGTACATCTGAGCTTGTATCTTTGATAACAGACACCCCCCTGACAATGGGATTAACTTATCTTAGACTGTTTCTAAGTTTAATCTAATTACACATCACATAACATCAACAGAATGCGAGGATGGCGCATAATTCTGAATTTATGATCCCACTAATAAAGTTCCTGATTATTAAATGAAATTAGTTTAAACTAATTTAATTAAATAAATTCATAACTAACTAGCTTTGCAGGCATAACAAGGTGTAACCCATGGAAACAGATCTGTTTTATAAAGTTTATTATGATTTCAGTCATTCCTAACCTCATTCAGTCTTTTAAAACAATGAATATATCATAAGAATGTGACATCTTAGAGGATGAAAACAGCAGATAGGTTAATAATTTTTGAAAACTTACCCTGTGTCAGCTGCAAGGTTGGGCTCTTACACTACGCTGATTAGACTGATTTTGGTAATACATAAATGTTTAAAAAATTTGGAAATTTCCAAAACCAGCTGATGACATGAACTATATGAATATCCATCCATCCATCCATCCATCCATCCATCCATCCATCCATCCATCCATCCATCCATCCATCCATCCATCCATCCATCCATCACATGGTTGTGGAGAACCTGAAAACTATTCAGACATCACAGTAAACAAGACAGGTGAACATTCGGGACCAAATTGAAGCTCATCGCTGGGCACATAGACATACATACGCATAGTTTATATACGTAAACATATACAAGACTGAAAGTTCTTGGTAATTTTAAAGATGACAAGAAAAATGAAAGCAAAATAAGGCAATCAGCTACAAAACTGAAATTATACAAATGATGTGTGGGGCTGATCCTTCTTTCTCCCTGCCGTATGACCATTGCAGCCCTATGCAAAGACAATCGTAACTGAATAATCAAATAGAATGTGTGCTGTAGGCCCAGATTTTCAAAGGCTAAAAATCCTCAACTCCTGTATAAACAGATCAGAAATCCAAATAAATCCCATTCAACATTCAGCAGACTGTTATAGACATTTTAACTTTTCATAGTATTAGTTGCAGAGTGCCACAAGGCTCGTCCTCTCGTTCTTCCACCATTTGCTCTTATACCAGAATAAGCAGAAGCATACTGTTCAATTTCATTGTTTGGCTGAAAGTCTGAAAAAGGCAACCTTGATGTTATTTTTTAACTCTAATCTGAAATATCAGCGGGAAAGTACTTGAAAATTGGTTGCTCAATTGCAAACCAAGTTCTACACATTAGAGTGCTATTTACAGTATTATAAATAATCTTATAAATTAAGATTAGTCAAAGCACAGCAGACGAAACTAGTGGGTGTCTGTCTTACAAGAGTTCATTTTAACAAGATAATGCCATCTACATATCTGGGTGTTGTAATACTGATATGTTTTTATCATTTTCCCATTGTAACATTCAGCAGTTTACGAATGACTTACGAAAGAAGCTTGTGATACAAAAGGGTTTCCCATAGTTCCTAAATTATACACAGGTTATTCTGCACCACAACCACATGTCTCTTTGAAGGAACAGCAGTCTAAACAAGAGATTAGCTATAATTACATGTTAAAAATGTACTTTTTACATAAGATCCGGGATTACAGCAATATCACTGAGAAGGCCGAGCAGAAAGTTTGCACCAACACTGCTGAATATATCCACAGACACACACATCCATCCATCCAAACACACACACACACACACACACAGTTGTGGCCGAATGACACAAGTATTGGGTTTTACAAAGTTTGCTGCTTCAGTGTTTGTAGATCTTTTTGTCAGATGTTTCTATGGTATACTTAAGTATAATTACAAGCATTTCATAAGTGTCAAAGGCTTTTATTGACAATTACATTAAGTTTATGCAAAGTCAATATCTGCAGTGTTGGCCCTTCTTTTTCAAGGCCTCTGAAACTCGCCCTGGCATGCTGTCAATCAACTACTGGGCCAAATCCTGACTGACGGCAGCCCATTCTTGCATAATCAATGCTTGGAGTTTGTCAGAATTTGTGGGTTTTTGTTTGTCCACCCACCTCTTAGGGATTGACCACAAGTTCTCAATGGGATTAAGGTCTGGGGAGTTTCCCGGCCACTTAATTATCACTTTTGCCTTATGGCACAGTGCTCAATCACGCTGGAAAAGGCAGCTTGATACCAAACTGTTCTTGGATTGTTGGGAGAAGTTGCGATTGGTTTTGGTACCATTCTTTATTCATGGCTGTGTTCTTAGGCAAAATTGTGAGTGAGCCCTGTCCCTTGGCTGAAAAGCAACCCCACACATGAATGGTCTCAGGATGCTTTACTGTTGGCATGACACAGGACTCATGGTAGTGCTCACCTTTTCTTCTCTGGACAATCGTTTTTCTGGATGCCCCAAACAATCGCAAAGGGGATTCATCAGAGAAAAAGACTTCTGCCCTTCTTGACACCAGCCATCCTCCAGAAGTCTTTGCCTCACTGTGCGTGCGGATGCAGTCACACCTGCCTGCTGCCATTCCTGGGCAAGCTCTGCACTGGTGGTGCCCCGATCCCGCAGATGAATCAGCTTTAGGAGACGGTCCTGGCACTTGCTGGACTTGCTTGAGTGCCCTGAAGCCTTTTCCACAACAATTGAACATCTCTCCTTGAAGTTCTTGATGATCCGATAAATGGTTGATGTAGGTACAATCTTACTAGCAGCAATATCCTTGCCTGTGAAGCCCTTTTTGTGCAAAGCAATGATGACTGCATGTGTTTCCTTGCAGGTAACCATGGTTAACAGAGGAAGAACAATGATTTCAAGCACCACCCTCCTTCTAAAGCATCCAGTCTGCTATTCTAACTCAATCAGCATGACAGAGTGATCTCCAGCCTTTTCCTCACAAAAACTCTCACCAGTATTAACGAGAGAATCACTGAAATGATGTCAATTTTTGTGGCAGGGCTGAAATGCAGTGGAAATGTTTTTTTTTGGGATTTCAGGGAAAAAGGGACTTTGCAATTAATTGCAATTCATCTGATTGCTCTTCATAACATTCTGGAGTTTATGCAAATTGCAATCATAAAATCTGATGCAGCAGACTTTGTGAAAATCAATATTTGTGTCATTCTCAAAACTTTTGGCCACGGCTGTACATACATGCATACATACATAGACACACATACATACTCTATCTAAAGCTTTGTTTGTTTTTGTTAATGAAATTATTAAAATGTCGATGCTTACATTCAGATGTAAAGGGCAGAGGGGCAGCTCACTGGTCTAAGTCTCAGTTCCCATAATCAGAAGATCGCCAGTTCAAGCCCCGACCTCAGCTGAACAGTGACATGTCTGTGGGCCCTTGAGCGAGGCCCTTAACCCCCCAGCTCCTGGGCTGCCGCACTATGACCCCCCAGCCGTGGAGAGCAAGATGGGGCAGGTTAATAGAAGAATTCCAATGTACTTTAACTTGTACTTGTGCATGTGGCAAATCAAAGATTTATTTGTCATGCAGGTTTGAAGACTGGTTGCTGTCCCTACTAGGTTTATGCAGGGATGTAGCTAGAAATTCTGGGCCACCTGACAAAATTTAACCCCCCCCCCCCCATGCAAAATTCCACCTTGGGCCCCTGTGAATCACCGGGGCCTCTGGACCTGCTAGGCTATGATGTCTTTTCTGCTTGTATTATAACTAAATACAATTTCCTGACACGGATTCTTTAATCTGAATATAAATTACAATCCATTTAAGACTAAGGTTAAAGTTAAGATTGATTTTATTGATCCTAGGGGGAAATTCTGAAATTTGTGTGTATAACCTATGTCACAATCATATAATGCATGGTTTGTCACAGTTTTGGGTTTCTACAAAATGAATAAGCATTTGATAGATCTGGCTGAGGGAAATACTGAAAGCGGTGAGTTTATTTACATAAAGTGCAAAGATTCCTGGACAGCAGGAGGCCGGTGACTGGATGTATAATCTCTACAGATATTTACACAGCAATAATGTAATAAAAAGCACAGGAATACGGGTACAATCACCCCGGAAGGAGCCCATTGCATTATTCATAATCATTAACAAAGAACATCACTAATCCTTGGCTCTGGCCACTTCACCACAACATAAATAACACTTTATTCCCACCACAAAGGACCAGTGTTGAACGCGGATGAAACGGAAAAAGACAAATATTCCATTGCATTCCATTGGTTTTCCTGCTAATTTTTCTTCATGTCATCAGCACGTTACTCGATATTTAGCAACAATACCCATTAGCTAAGCTTGGGAGGTGTAAGGCGATGGTCACCTCATACTCAACCTCAGGGATTCTGTAGTGATTCCCCTCATTCGAGGGGAACTGGAGCACAAGGTTACAACCAGTGACCGACAATAATGTTAATATCTCAAGGAAAAGAAAAGTCATAAAAAGGTAGAGAAATGACGAGAAAGTGGATGCTTACCAGGCGCCTCCTCTCTTCTTCCACTGTGTTTAACAGCTGGGAAAACTCCTTAAAAGACTGGGCTGTGGGAGGGAAAGCAGCAGTGAAGACAGCAGCAAATGCAGCAAATGTTTTGTTTCACTCATTTCTCAATTATATATATATAAAAGTATACATACACACACACACACATATACTTGATGTCATCCTGATTCATGAGAAACTGTCAGTTAACGTTCATCTCTGCCATTATAATGTGGCTTCCGCCCTTTATCTGTCTGGCTTCTGGTCGTTCCCAGTGTCTCCTGCTTCACCTGATTCTTGTGTACTGCTGTCTTAGGAATTCTGAACCTTGAAGCATCCTGCTGCTCAGCCTAGCCTTCTGCCGGCAGAACCATGATTTAACCAGGATTTAAAAATGCAGATTACTTTAAAAATAGTCTCAGTTTTCTCCATGGATGTATGTTCATGAAGAGTCATGAGAGACAGTGTTACACTATAAAAGGTACTAGAACACACACACACATATTTTATATTATATATATATATATATAGACACACACACACAATTAGAGGAGTGAGTGAAGGGTATAGACTGGCTATTACACCATTGTAGCTTACAGTATATGGTATTGATAGACTGTTTAAAATCATATAATTCCTCTTAACATTAATCATGTCTTATTACCTTTGATGCAAAAGAATCGTAATGTTTCTTAGGTTTGAATAGTTTTTCCAAAATATCTGTAAACACTCAGAATAGTGAGAGAATGAAAATGAAACAGCATGTATGTGATACCAAGAAGACATTAAGGGGAAACAAATAAAGTTAATACATCCATTTATTTCCTCAAGACTTTTGTAGCTGGTGTATTTACATATTATTTCCTGGTTTTTATACTGAAACACAGATGCAAAACTTAAGTACTTTTTGCTACTAGCCAAGTGTGCTAGTTCAGTAAAAATGTATTTGCCCAGATACAGTTTTAATAAGATGCATTGTGCAATATAATTTTCATGCATATAGAGCAATTAAAGTCCATCACATCAAACAATAAAAATAACTGTATAAAAAAGTTATTTTCAGTGTACAATTTATTAATTTCAAATAATTTACTCATTGAATATTAAAGTATACTGTTTATTGGATTAATGCGATGTCCACATTTTCCTGGTCATCTGCCCAAACCAAAACCCCCTTCGCCTTCATTTCCTACCCTTCCTCATCCTCTTCCTGCTCAGGAAACCTTCTTGATCTCAGATCTGAGTCTTTATATTGTAGGTCAATCACCTCCTTGGGGATAAAGCTGCTTATATTTCGCCATTAGGGCATCCAAGTCTTTCATTCTTTATTCATTTAATTGCACTGAATCCAACACAACAAAATAACATAAAGACTAATAATAATAATAATAATAATAATAATACAGTTTAAGTACTTCACTTGCAAAACGTTCTCAAATATAAAAAAATTCAAATACTAATCAAAATGGCTTAATTAATAAGGACATATTGGCACATATATACAATTACACAGCCATGACTACTTTTGAAAGACTAAATGAGTTAAACTGTGATTTAACTTGTTTAACCAAATAGTCCCACAACAGCAGCCAGGATAAGAGCTACTGTAGCTTTAAGATACCAAACTTCCCACGTGAAACTACCATGGGCAGCATTTAAAAAAGTACTGAAATCAAAGTAATCATTTGGCACCCAAAACAGTGATTATCCCAAGGATTGCTACTGATATGTAAAACAAAACAGTGACTAACCACCAAGCAAACGGATAATGCTTAAGCGTTTCTGAAAATATCACGTGGAGTGAAACATCACAACTAATTATTTGGGGGTGGATGATGAAAATAGCGTTGGTTTTATGAATAAATTTGAATAAAATTGTGATTTTGGATACTATATTTTAGAATTGTGTATGTGGGATGTATTATATTGAGGATGATAATTGTTAGATTAATTGTCCCAAGGGGAGGGGTTAAGAAATCTATATAAACCCTGGAGAATGGGCTAAAGGGAGGTTGTTAGGGATCCACGGTCTGCCAGGGTATAGCCCGTTTTGGTGATTACTTCTTTCTTTTTGTTGTTGTTGTTAATACTTTGTATTTGTGCACTTTTGTGAGCAAGGACAATAAATTTTGGCACGTTTTGGAACTCCATGGCCTTCTCCGGTTCCTGAAACCTCGGGCCTCAGCCATTCCTAACAGTAACATTAGTATACTGTACTGTAAATGTGCTAGTGTGACAAATATCCGTTAGGCAATACTGTACTCTATTTTTACATCAAACATTTGTTTTTTTTTAAAGGTAATGTATTAAGCTACCTTTTAAATGAAATTAAAGTGTTTTGGGAGCATGACTGGGGTCATATTTAGTGTTTAAACTATAGAAATAAGCACATATTACCATTTTTAGTGACTCTACCAAACATCCGTAAATCCTCCTCATTTGTGACGGATTCTGGAACCAAACCTCGTAAATGTCTGAGGTCTGACTGTATTCTTGCAGAGAGGCACACATGAATCATCATAAATGAATAGGATGAACTGCATCCCAGTAAATGGCATTCTGTGGATATCTTCCCGTTACGAAACTCTTGCCCTGTTATTCTTACCAATGTTAATTTCATCATCCGTTTCTGCATCCCCAATGCATTCGAACTGGAACTCTTGAAGTGACTGAGAAAACTTCTGTACTGCTGCAGAAAGATCTGAGGAAGAGAGATGGTTTAGGTCAGAAATTATTTAAGCAAACAAGTTTGGAAGCCTATGACTCTATTAAATCCTTTTATCCCTGACTTACATGCCGCACCAGGAACTGGCATCACTAAATCAGTGTGCGATTGTGTCTTTCATGCAGCTGTTGAAATATTAACTTGAAACTTACCAGAAGCATAATACCTTTTACTATGAAGATATGTAACAAATATTATGGAGGTATAGCATAACATACAAGCAACAGAACATCAAACCCAAGGTCTATTATGTAATAAGTTTTAATATGTGGCGTAGATGTCAATGCTGTATATGTAGTGACCAATGTATGTAATGCCCAAAATAGTGTTTTTTAACATAATAATAATAATAATAATTTATTATTATTATTGATAATAATAATAATATATTCATAATACCAACAACAATAATGATAATAATAATAATAAATCTTGACTTGGCTTGAATCTTGACTTCAGTCCTGGTCCACTATGAGTATTTTGGTAGACAGACACTAACAGTTCCCCCCCCCCCCCCCCCCCCCCCCCC